GATGGGTCGGGTGACTAATAGCATCACAAAGACAGAGTTACATGGGGTGAGGGGCAGTGTGGTTGCTAATGGCAGCTTTTTGGACACAGTTCTTGACGCTGCTGTGAGCAGCAGGGAAACCGGTAGAAGCTCCCACAAAGGACCAATGGGGCACAGCTTCACCAGACTCCAAGGAGGAGGTGGTGGTGGTGGTTGGATTTCTGAGTAAAGTATGAAATGGTGAGCAAATTGTCGTGTAGGACGTCATAGGCTTACACCATGATTCAAAAGGCTCCCTGATCCAAAATAAGACTTGGGCAAATGTTGCGTAATTATTAAAATGCACTTGACATTCAAGCAGGCCGCGAGTTTCCTCTCAGTCCAACATGTCAACAAAGAGATCGTTTGAACAGGACAGCTACTGCACACTCTGCTCCAGCTGTATTCTTATTGTCTTTCTGCAGAAGCTGCTTGTTGCAAGTTACGCGTATTTACGCACAATCCTTATTTTGACAGCTGTGGGCAACAGCGTCATTTGTCTAATATTATCAGACAGCTTCAGAGACTTAAAGGGAACTCCTTCCACAAAATAAATTCAAGTGACATAATTTGAATGAGCCTGAGCAGGATGCGCGGGCCACCCGAACAAGATCCGCTCCTGGATTACGCGCGGCGAGCGCGCACTTGGAGACACCATCTCTGCTGAGTTTGAGGCAGTGTTACTCACGCTCTGAGGCCATGGTGATGACCGACTCCGTGGTAGCGTGGTACTCATCCTCCTCCATGAACTCGTCTTGGGCCGACGCGTCCCCCTGGAAGTCGTGATGGTCCAGGAGCTGCTGGAGCGGCGGCGCCTTGGGCAGCAGCTGGTTGACCACCTCCCGGCTGATGTTGGGCGCCTGCTTCAGACGCAGCTTGCTCAGGATCTGAGACTTGATGGTCTCCAGTCGCAACACTTTGCTCTGCTCCCTCCACACGCAGGCGGAGCACTCATGCGAACCGGCGGCGTCCTCGTCCAGCAGGGACACCCCAGCAGCATCCGTGGGCGTCTCGCTGGCAGGAGGCAGCAGCAGATTGGGCTCATCGCTCCCTGACAGTCCCAGGAAGATCAGCACCACTAAGCACAATAAAAAGTTGGATCTCGGCATGATGAGGCGCAGAACAGGAAAAAATTAAAAATTAAAAACAAACAAACAAAAAAAGGAATAAACTTAATCCTGCTTTTATATCCTTCCTCGGAGCTGAGCCGCTCCTCTTAGCGCAGATTCACTGACAGGCATCCAGTAAAAAAGTAAAAATAATAAATAAAAAAAAAGGAGATTTTCTTTCTGCACCTGGAATTCTTAAGTTAAAAAAAGTGCGTCCCGGTGGGTCCCAGCTTTTGATTGGAAGGTGAATTATCAGCCTGATGGATGCATATCCCGCTCACATGTAAAATAATGGGTGCTTTTGAGGGGGGTCCTGTGTTCAGTTTAGTCGATGGAGGTGTGTGTATGTGTGTGTGTGCATGTGTGTGTGTGTATGTGTATGTTCAGAAGTGTCACTGAAAAAAAAATGTGCAAGTGCGCTCAAAAAAGGGGGCTCCTTTATATATCTCAGCTGCCCGGTGTCGTAATCCGTCTCCATTGGCTAAGATTGCAACAAAAGGCTTTTAGGTTTGTCACCAAGTCAAGAGGGACAGAGAAGGGAGGGTGCGCGCGCTCTTATGAGAGGATACATGTTTTACAGTGCACCAACAATGCCTCACTTTGAAAAAAATAGACTAGGGAAGTTATTATGGCAGAGAACGGCTCATATATATATATATATATATATATATATATAATTTTTAACGGTGCATTAATAAAACAAAGCGTCATGATTTTTGTTCTCCTCTTCCTCTCTCTCCTGTGCACACCATAAATCATACGCTTATGAACATTTTGTGGCATATTTGAACAAGAAACCCGCTGCTGCACTTTATTGTGAAGTTTTCAAATGGAATCCTCTCCAAGCCGAATCAAAAAGGCCATAAATAACTAGAAGATTTGATATTTTTAAGTACAAAGTTGAGAAGCATAAATCTAAACCTAACTCAGGAGTATTATTATTGTTTTGATCTTTTATACCTGAGGTCTACGTTATGGCAAATAGACTAAATAGTGTATAGAACTATTGTATTTAATCATTTTTCAGAAAAGGGAAATGAAAATGTGATTTATTTATTGTTTCGTTTATGTGGAAGAAATATCACTTAAACTAAAATTGTAGCCTTTGACCTCGAGTTTCCTGTGTTGCATCTTTGACTCTTTACTGACACCTGCTGGTGGAAATTAGAGCTGCAGCAGCTTCAGAGCATTCACGTCTCAGCCCGTTGGTTTGACCTGGGAGAGGCAAACTGGGCCAACTGGGCAGTAAAACAGGAATTACTGTACTTAGTTCTCTGCACATTGATCATTTAAAGTAAATATCTGTCTTTAACACAAGCAGCCATGTTCCAGTTACAAAGTAAATAAATTAAAACAGCAACAACCTCGTTATAAATGTGTTTACATAAATTTTTTTGTTTCTGTTCATAGACGTTTTCAACAGGCTGCTTGATGCCAATTTAACTTAATTTGCTTAATTTGATTATTAAGTAAGTCCTTAAAATGACATAAAAACAGCTAATTTCTGGATTAAATTCTACAAATTATGCAGAAATTGGCAGAAGTAACAGGGATGTCAGTGTGTGTTTCAGAAATGTCAATCATTAACATGCACTGGAAAAGGTGCAAGTTGGACAATTAATGGTACCAGTCAAAATTGTATATTTTGCATATTTTTATTCACTTGTGCTTTTTAAAAATGTTTTTCAACTTTATTGATCATCACTTTATTGTCAAACATTAAAAAAATGTTAGTCCTTTGGTTAGCTGGTTTTGCAAAAATTTCTGATTTTCGGGCCTTTAAATATAATATATATATATATATATATATCTACAGTATATATATATATATATATATATATATATATATATATATATAAAATATATTCCTGACAAACAGCTAGTTTGCCAGGTTTTATGTGCTTGTTTTATTTTTAACACGTGTTTGAACTGAGATGTGGAAATCCTAAATGATTGCTGAAAGATGCTGAGGAAGCTGAAACCCAGCTGAAAATGCATCCATCCATTTTCTTCCACTTATCCAGGGTCAGGTCGCGGGGGTAGCAGCTTAAGTAGGGAGGCCCAGACTTCCCTCTCCCCAGCCACTTGGGCCAGCTCCTCCGGGGGAATCCAAGGCGTTCCCAGGCCAGCCGAGAAACATAGTCCCCCCAGCGTGTCCTGGGTCTTCCTCTGGGCCTCGTCCCGGTGGGACATGTCCGGAACACCTCACCAGGGAGGCGCCAGGAGGCATCCTAAACAGATGCCCGAGCCACCTCAACTGGCTCCTCTCGACGTGGAGAAGCAGCGGCTCTACTCTGAGTCCCTCCCGGATGATCGAGCTTCTCACCCTGTCTCTAAGGGAGAGCCCAGACACCCTGCGGAGAAAACTCATTTCGGCCTCTTGTATCCGAGATCTCGTTCTTTCGGTCACAACCCAAAGCTCATGATCATAGATGACGGTAGGAACGAAGATCGATTGTTAAATTGAGAGCTTCGCCTTTTGACTCAGCTCTCTCTTCACCATGACAGACCTGTACAGCGCCTGCTTCACTGCAGACGCTGCACCTATCCGCCTATCGATCTCACGCTCCATTTTTCCCTCATTCGTGAACAAGACCCCAAGATACTTGAACTCCTCCACTTGGGGCAGGACCTCCTCCCTGACCCGGAGAGGGCACTTTACCCTTTTCCGGCTCAAGACCATGGCCTCGGATTTGGAGGAACTGATCCTCATCCCGGCCGTGTCGCACTCGGCTGCGAACCGCTCCAGCGAAAGCTGTAGATCACGATCTGATGAAGCCAACAGGACCACATCATCTGCAAAAAGCAGAGACACAATCCTAAGGCCACCAAAACGGATCCCCTCAACACCTTGGATGCACCTAGAAATTCTGTCCATAAAAGTTATGAACAGAATCGGTGACAAAGGGCAACCTTGGCGGAGTCCAACTCTCACTGGGAACAAGCCCGACTTACTGCCGGCGATGTGGACCAGGCTCTGACACCGGTCATACAGGGACCTAACAGCCCGTATCAAAGGGCCTGGTACCCCATACTCCCAGAGGACCCCCCACAGCGTTCCCCGAGGGACGTGGTCGAACGCCTTCTCCAAGTCCACAAAGCACATGTAGACCGGTTGGGCAAACTCCCACGCACCCTCCAGGACCCTGCTGAGAGTGTAGAGCTGGTCCAGCGTTCCACGACCAGGAAGAAAACTGCACTGCTCCTCCTGAATCCGAGGTTCGACTATCCGACAAACCCTCCTCTCCAGAACCCCCGAATAGACCTTACCAGGGAGGCTTAAGAATGTGATCCCCCTGTAGTTGGAACACACTCTACAGTCCCCCTTTTTGAATAGGGGGACCCCCACCTCGATCTGCCAATCCAGGGAACTTCCCCTGATGTCCACGCAATATTGCAGAGTTGCGTTAGCCAACACAACCCTACAACATCCAGAGCCTTAAGGAACTCCGCGCGAATCTCATCCACCCCTGGGGCCCTGCCACCGAGGAGCTTTTTAACCACCTCGATGACCTCAGCACCAGAGATTGGAGGGCCCGACCCAGAGTCCCCAGGCTCCGCTTCCTCCGTGGAAGACGTGCAGGTGGGATTGAGAAAATGCTGAAAATGTAATGTTTATAAAATTATTCACCACCTTGGATGTTTTACCTTTTTGTTGCCATTATAAATCATCCATACATCCATCATCTTTGACCCACTTCTTCCTTTTCGGGTCACGGGGGGTCACTGGTGCCCAGATCCAGCCATCACTGTGCGAGAGGTGGGGGACAAACTGGACAGGTCGCAAGTCCATCATAGGGACACGTAGACACAAAGGAGACAACCACTGAGTTGTTGAAACTAATTTAGAGTAACCAATCAGCCTAACATGCATGTTTTTGGTCTGTGGGAGGAAACTGGAGTACCTGGAGAAAACATGTAAACTCCACGCAGAATGGCCCCCACAGCTGGGATTCAATCTGGTAACCTTCTTGCTGAGAGGCAGCAGCTCTACCCACTGTGCCACCTGCCCCTATTATAAACCAGTCATGGTCTTTGTACATTTCTACAAAGATAATCTGAACAAATTATTCTATAGAGACTAATGAGAGCTTTAGATCACATTCATACACTGATGGGACACACATCAGAAGCAATGAGGGGTTCAGGGTCTTGCCCATTGACACTTCAACAAGTGACTGCTGGTGGAATCGAACCCCCAACTCTCCCATTGGAGGACGACTGCTCTGACCACTCAGCCACAACTGCCCATATACAGTGGACGTTTGACAAAAATAAATCAAAATTCTTCAATGTCAAGGTGAAAACTAGTTTCTTTCGAAACCATTAGTGGAATTAACTTCTGCTGAATTAGGTTTCGCCAACTTCATTATCAAAATTCACAAGCATGTTACTGTCTGTTGTGGGTGTGTCTCAGACAGTTTGTTAGACACACACTGGCTTACTAGATGTGCACGTAACAAGATGTGACTGGTCGAGGCAGCAGTAGCTAGCTGAAGGCACGCTATTGACTTACTACGTGTACATGTGACAAGACCTGAGTGGTCGATGCAGCTTCAACTGGAAAGAGACAAAGACGTGTGAAGTAGACTGACAGTCGTCTTAGTGGTTAACGGTTTAGCGTTAGCTTTCAATATTATTATTATTTTTTTTTTTTTTGCTGTTTAGTGTTAGCTAAGCTAATATCTTAATTAGCAGAAAACGTTTTAGCAAAGCTAACTTTTTGGTTAGCTGTGCCCACCACTGTCCTCCACCTTCATGCACCTTCCAAGGCTGGCTGCCGAGGCTCAGCCACAACCCATGATGCTGCCACTACCATGCTTCACAGTGAGGATGATGGGTGAAGGGGAACACCTCACCTCAGAAAAAGTTCACCTCACCTTGACAAGCACCATTCCTGTGTTTTGTGTTTGAAACTATAAGATCCATCTATTCCCTTGGGAATTCACAGACATATTTTACAAATATTCTTCATCTCAGCTCACAAACTTTCAAAATTAACACAATGTAATAAATATGTTATTCTACGTTAACTGTTTAAACCCAATATGAACTCAATTAATCACTGGTAGCAGTCTCCACACCATCCAGGACACCTACCACAGTCGATGTCTTCGTAAAGCACGCAACATCATTAAGGAACACACCCACCCAGCACAAGGACTCTTCCGTCTACTACACTGAGGCAGACGATACAGGAGTCTGCCATCGTGTACAAAAACATGGAAGGACAGCTATTACCTACAAGCTGTCAGACTACTGAACTCTCGATAAATAATGGAACTGGCAATAACTAACTAATAATTCAATCTCTATGTCACTACCTGTGCAATAACCTGTCACACAGCCCGTGTGGTATATGTTGCTTATGTGCAGTATATACCGTATGTATATATATGTGTGTGTGTGTGTGTGTGTGTATCATATGCATTTTAGCTTATATTACTACCTTGAAATACTTATTCATTCAAATTCACCTTGCTGCACCATTATAATCTATCATGGTGTTGCTCAATATGATCTCTCTTTAGGACGTTGTAAACATTTGAATTACTTTTTCACTTTTTGGTACTTTTTTTGGTGTACCTTATTGTATGCTTTTAATATTTTCTTTTTGGTTTGTTCTTTGATTTTTTTTTTTAGCGAGTCATATCGGTTCTTCTCATCCTAAGCATTTCATTGCACTGTTAACCTTGTGTTGTGTTAACCTTGCATATGACGAACAAACACAACTTGAACTTGATTATGGAACCCCACACCCCACAGACTGATAACATTACAGACCAACAGACATGATGAAGTTCAGTCAAGATGAGTGGAAGGAGAATGAATTTAAAGACGCCTTCAAAAATGTGTAAAAATATTTAGATAATAGTAGTTTTTAAGCCCGTAAATTGAGTTTTTCTTATGTCACATGACCTGATGGAAAACCTTTGTTATACCAACCTTTCTTGTGACATGCCTCTTTTATTACTGTCTATTGTTGTCGTTGTTATCCACTGTTATCATCACTCTTTGTTAAAGAATTCAGGTCTCTCTTGTAAATGAGTCCCCGTGGCTCAATTATATTAACCTGTATAAATAAAGGTTGAATGAATGAATGAAAAAATGATGATACTTTGTAAATGTGTTATAAAAAACCATAAACATTTAAACTCACCAGATCATTGGCAGCTCTGGTTAATGACTGACTTCATCACGCGGAAGTGGTCATGTGTTTATGAGAGCTGTAGAAAGTTAAAATGTGTCTCTGTGGTTGTAAACTCGAGCTTTGAGTTTTCTCAAAACACGGTTTGTCCTTTGCGGTTTTCCGTAGATGACGGCTTGGCCAGCGCGCGCCGCTGCTGCGTAGAAGCCAAACAACACCCGACCTAAGGCGTCTCCAGTAGACACGGTAGCTTCAGATAAATCGCGGAAAATGCATTCAGCCGCACTGGACGGCAATGGTTCCCCGAGGAAACGCGCGTTTTCTCGGGGATTGAGCGAAGACGAGTCTCTCCGGAGCATCATTGAGGTGAGCGAAGGAGAAGAAAATCACGGCCAGCATTTATCGTCACTTAATGTTGAAGCTAAAGCTAATATTTACTGGTGCTGAACAGCATTTAAAACAGTTCAACGATAACAAATATGTAGTATGGTCATTTGTTTTGACAAACTAAGTCCGAGCTAAACGCAGTAGTCATCTTCAGGCCCTTTACCGCAGTCCTACTTCTCATTATTAGCTTGTTTATTAGCATGCTTTGTTTATGTTGCTGTGGCTGGATTTGATGCGAAGTTTGGACTCCACCTCGTTTTTGTTCCCCAGACTGAGAGCTCATCCAGGCGCCTGACACGAAGTGAGAGCCGAACAGGTACTCTGAAGAGGACGACTGACAGCCAGGTGAGCCACACCACCACACCTGTCAACAATCCGGTCTGCTGATCTGCTCCACCCAGGATCATTGCAACACGAGAACAAGACACAGTGTGCTCTTTTTACCACCATCATGTGTGTTACAGCTACAGTCATTTATAGTGTCATAAAAGAAGAAAAAAATCACTGTAATGCCACTTTGATTATGTGCTGCTGATTATCCGTGCTGCTGATCTCAGCTGCTGATTCTTTTCATATGTTTTTTTCATTTTTTTCATGTACCCTTTATTTATACAGGTAATCTCAATGAGCCACTAGAACTCATTTTCAAGAGAAACCTCTTTAGGGAGCAGATGGTGGGGGTTAAGGGCCTTGCTCAGGGGCCCAGAGTGGGGCAAATGATGGTGGAGGGAGGTGTGGGTGTTTCACCTTTTCCACCCACATTTTGATGTTGACGGTACCGGGAGGTGAACCTGCAACTTTCCAATCACAAGCCCATCTTCTAACCTCTGCACCCCCCCCCCCCCCCCCCCATTTCATGCTGCTGATCTCATGCTGCTGATTCATTTCATGCTGCTGTATTCGTTCGTACTCGTCTGCTCACACAGACTCGTGTTCGTGCTGCTGTTGTTCTACGTATTACTGTTTTTGCACAATTAAGCGTTTAGCATATTCTTAGTTCATATTTTAGATCTTATTAGTTTTTCTTTTACCTTTTATACTTTTGTTGGCTCTAACTGGGACCCTGTGTACATAATTTAGTTCCACCACATGTACCACATGCGATGCAAATGACGATAATTGCAAATGACGATAATTGCAAATGACGATAAAGAACATTGACCTTGATAAAACAACGTTTTTAACTATTGTAAATGCAGAACATGTGCTTTCCATCAATTTTTAGCAGAATTATGAGTCGTTCAAAAATCTAATCATCATTTCTCTCTGAAGGATGATTTTTGGCAGCACGACGGCTCAGTGGTTAGCACTGTTGCCTCACAGCAAGAAAGTCCTGGGTTCAATCCCCGGTTGGACCTGGGATCTTTCTGTGTGGAGTTTGCATGGGTTTTCTCCGGGTACACCGGTTTCCTCCTACAGACCAAAAACATGCCTTCAGGTCCAGGCCTCCCTTGCAGAAGAGATCTGTGATCTCAGTTGGGATTTGCCTGGTTAAATGAAGGTTAATAATAAAATAATATGTCATAAAAATAAGCTTAAAATATTTTGTGATTAAGGCACTTATTTAGGGGGAAAAAAATAGAAAAAACATCCATCGCAAGGGCTTCTTTTGGAGTGTTTACAGGTGCTTAGATGTGTTGAAGGGATCACTGGCTAAAGCATTAATAAAAATAAATGTAATGTCAGACAGTATTGATAAATTGTCTCAACAGATTTTTATCGAACAAAGTTAAATCAGTCTTCAGAATTTACTTTTACTTTTGGTTAAATGAAATCCAGTGAATAAAAATCATTTTATGTTGTTTTTTTGTTTGTTTGATTCAACAATATCCTAAATAATGGAACTGCCCTGCCAACTGATATTAGTGATATTCTTAAAATGGTCATATTTTTAATAGTTCGGTAAACTAACCCAAACACGTGTTTATTTCATTTCTCCAGTCTGACCAGGATCTCCTCATGGGACTTCCAGAAATGGTAACTATTATTCTTGCTGTCTTTTTTAAATATGAAAGTTATTTAGAGTTGTTTAGAGTATTGTTCAGTTTCAAGTCCAAGAAAATATATTTGTTCAAAATAATTCCGCACATATGGAGCGATGGCTGTGGATCCACACATTCCTCCCATATTTTGTAGAGAGCTTGGCGAGCGCTCACTTTCCTCTTTTTCTGATTTATAATTAATGTGTGTAGCTGGAGCTGCAGGCCAGCTATGATGAGGTGGTGCAGGAGCTGCGTGGGCTGGAGGTGGAGCGAGAGACTCTATTGTTCCAGGTGGACGTCCTGCAGGACACTCTGGAGAGTGCAGAGGAGCTGCTGGCTGAGGCACAGAGGGAAGCTGGACAGGCTAGTATGGTATGCCGAGTTACCAGAAAATCCACTTCATTTTGAAACAGCTGAGTTTTAGTTGTGAGTTTGTGTTTCTTAATGGATGCCGGTCTCCTTGTGATGATGGTTTTTGTTTATTTGTAGGAGCTGGAACTAGAGAGAGAAGCCAGGAAGAAACAGGAGAGTCTGGTGAGCTCTCTGAGGCGGGAGGTGGAGAGATTAAAAGAGGTAAAAAAAAGGAACTAAAATGAGAACTTGATGTAAAATCACAGAAGTACTGAATTTGCATATAAAAAGTACAGAATATGAAATCTGTTGTACAAAGTGAAGCTTGTTTTTTGTTTGTTTGTATGTCTAAAGTCATTAGAAAAACGTGTGAAACGTTAAAAGCGAGATGATTCACGGATTCAAAAAAATAATGGTACAAATGTTTGCTACTTTTAAAGTGTCAAGCTCATATGGAAAACTAAAGAGAAGCAAATTATATCACTTTTAAATTCTGTGAGAGAAAATTAGTTTGGTGAAGGTTTAAATTTCAGAAGGAAGTTTAGACCGTTTTTTTATAGACTATAATTTTTTTTTCTGCAGCTGCTTCTTAAACTTTCATTATCAGTAAAATAATCTCTTCGTGTAATGTCACACAAAACTCTTGTGGTGTACAGCTAATATGTTTACGAGAACAAGGCATACAACATTAAACTTTAGTAGAAATAACGTTGACAATGAAATATGATCCTTGTGTACATATTTTTAGTATTAGTAGTGAACCTGCCTGAAGACTGCCACCATCATCCCAGTCCCAAAAAGCTCTACAGTGACTGGTCTGAATGACTATCGGCCAGTGGCCCTCACCCCGATAGTCGCTAAATGCTTCGAAAAACTGGTCATGACTCACATCAAAACAACCATCAACATCAACGAGGACCCTCATCAGTATGCATACCGTGAGAACCGATCAACAGAGGATGCAATCTCCTCTGTGGTCCACACTGCGCTCAACCACCTGGAGCAGAAAAACTCTTACGTCCGTATGCTCTTTGTGGACTTCACATCCGCCTTCAACACCATGATCCCCCAAACCCTGATGGACAAACTATCCACACTAGGACTAAGCCCCTCCATTTGCAACTGGGTACTAGACTTTTTAACAAACAGACCACAGTTAGTGAGGATCCACAACCTCTCCTCCTCCACCATAACCCTCAGCACTGGCTCTCCTCAGGGATGTGTGTTGAGCCCCCTTCTGTTTACTCTGCTCACATATGATTGTGCAGCTACCCATCCAGGCTGTCACATTGTAAAGTTTGCAGATGATACAGCGGTGGTGGGATGCATCACAAACAATGATGAGTCCAGCTACAGGCAAGAGGTGGAACACCTGGAGAGCTGGTGCAGAGAGAATAACCTTCACATCAATGTGAAGAAGACAAAGGAGATGATTGTGGACTTCAGAAGGAACAAAAACACCTACACCCCCCTGAACATAAGAGGATCTGCGGTGGAAGTGGTCTCCAGCTACAAGTACTTGGGTGTACACATGAATGACAACCTCAGCTGGAGCAACAACACCACCAGCCTGATCAAGAAAGCTCATCAGAGACTCTACTTCCTCAGACGGCTGAGACGAGCTGGTCTGGGAAGCTCAGTCCTCACCTCCTTCTACAGGTGTGCAGTGGAGAGCATCCTGTGCTCCAGCATCAACGTGTGGCATGGAGGCTGCACAGCTGCAGAAAGAAAAGCTTTGCAGAGAGTGGTGAAGGCTGCACAGAAGACTGTTGGAGTCAGTCTCCCCACCATCACAGACATCTACACCTCCAGATGCAGGAAGAGGGCCACCTGCATCATGAAGGACCCCACCCACCCAGCACACACACTTTTTGCCCCACTCCCCTCAGGAAGGAGGTTAAGGAGCATTAAGTGTAGAACCACTAGACTGAGGAACAGCTTCTACCCTGAGGCTGTTAGACTCATGAATCTCTAACCAGAATAATCACAGTGAAAAACCATATCATGTTGCTGCTGATCTGTTTCAATGTTGATGTGTTCATGCTGCTCATCTGCTCACAGACTCATGTTCATGTTTGTGCTGATGTTCAATGTTTTATGTTATGAGTGCTTAGTGTATATTTAGTTGATGTTTTTCTTTGTTCATATCTTAGATGTTATTACTGTTTTTCTTATACATTTTATTGTTGGATGTAACTGGGACCCTGTGTACATAATTTCGCTCCACCACATGTACCACATGAGGTGCGAATGACAATAAAGAAACTCTGACTCTGACTCTGAACATTTGGACACTTATTTTAATTTAAAATGAAGAAATGAGCACAATGTCCTGCCAATCAAAACGCTTAAGTAAAAAGGAGCATTTCTTGAAACGATGCACGTTGCTTCTCAACTTGTATGCTAAAGTTTTAAACAGAAATGTTGCTCAATCTGTTAGCACTCAGAATTTATGTTGGGGATGACGCTCAGCTACTACCAATTCTCATTTTAGTTTAATATCTGTAACATGGAAAGAGTTAGAGCCATTTGGTGTTGGTTGTAGTAGACTAACTGTCGCAGCCGTCTTGGCTCCAACAGTTGATCAGAATTTGTGCATCCAATGATTGAACTCTGAAAGTTTAATAAAATCTGTTCAGTTGTTTATGAGATATTTTGTAAACAAGCATAAACTCGGACAGAGAGACATGTAAGCAATTATATAATTAGTCTTCTTTCGTGGAGCGTTTACTCAGTTTCTACTTTTAACTAGAATAATGCTTCACTTTCTATTGGTTGGGTCACGCATTAGAAGTTAAACCCTCTCAATGAACGACTACAATCAGGTAACATTACATACTTGGGCATTAATATTTCTCCTAGATTAGAAGACTTAATAAAATTGAATCATATCCCAATTTTAAAGAACATTGAAGATGATCTTACTAGATGGAAATCTCTGCCCATATCACTTATGGGAAGAGTTGCCTCAGTAAAAATGATGGTCCTGCCGAAAATAAACTATTTATTCTCAATGATTCCAAATAAACCTTCAACTGAATGGTTTAAGTCACTGGACTCTTTGATATCTAAATTCCTTTGGAAAAACAAAACTCCACGTATTAGCTTAAAAGCATTACAGAAATCTAAAGATACCGGAGGGTTAGAACTTCCCAACTTCTATCACTACTATTTAGCCAATAGGTTACAATATATCTCAAAGTGGTTAAATCCAAATACATTAGATGAAACTTGGATAGACATAGAACAAACTTTATGCAATAATATTAAGATTTCAGATCTACCGTTTATTAGCACAAATATAAAAAGACATGTTTGCTTTAAAAGCATCAGTATTAGCTCTTCTCTGACAGCATGGTGGGAGTATTTGAAAATGACAAAATCTTCACTACTCCCCTGTAGACATACACCCATCTGGAACAATCCTGACATCCTACAAGAAAATAATATGTTAAATTTCCCAGGTTGGAGAGTCAAGGGAATTGAACGTCTGGAACACATATATGAAGGTGTAGACTTTATTCCATTTAATAATTTAATAATACAATTTGACATTGAAAATAAATACTTCTTACAATATCAACAAATTAAGTCTATCATAAAAAAGAAATTTAAGCTTAATAAAACTTTGTTAGAAACACCAATATGTGTGTTAGAGTTCCTTAATCTTAAATCCCCCAAATTATTATCTAAAATATACAAGAAATTGTCTAGAATCAATGACTCCATAATGTTACCTGTTGCAAAATGGGAGTCAGATTTATCAATCAATTTTGACCAAAACACCTGGTCTCAAATATGTTTAAGAACATTTAAAATGACTAGAATCTCCAACTTACAATTAATACAGTATAAAGTTCTTTATAGAGTACATTATACAGGTCAGCGAATGTTTCGGATGGGATTTACATCATCTAACAACTGCTCACAGTGCACAGGCAATATTCCTGATGATTATATCCATGCACTCTGGTTCTGCCCACCCGTTCAGAGGTTCTGGGTCCAGGTTTGTGAAGACTTGTCTAAATGTCTGAAATGTAATATTCCACTCTCTCCGTCTGTTTGCTTATTGGCTATCTTGGAAGATGTTACCCTGGAAAAAAATACATGTCGCATGATTTTCACTGCCTTATGCATCGCAAAGAAAACCATACTCCTGAATTGGAAAAATAAAAATAATCTTAGTATTAATCAGTATAAAAATCTGCTGTTAGATCATATTAGTCTTGAAACAGCATCTGCCGACACATTGGATCAATCTCTGTGGGCTCCTTTGATCGGCTCCGTTACATAGTGAGGGTGGGTAGTCTGGGATCTGACCTTGTGGGGCCTTGGGGTTGATGTGGAGGTGGGTGTATGGGTTTGGGGCCCCGGGGGGGTTGCCGGGGGCTGGGCTCTTGGGGGTACCTGGGCAGGGGGGCACTGCTTTCCCTCTGGGGAGGGCCTGGGTGGTTCTGGGGGATGTCTGCTGGTGGCTGCATGCAGGCCCTCAGGTGGTCTATGGCGGCGGTCGTGGGTCACCGATCTGGTAGCCTGGCTGTGCTGATGTGGGTTCGGGGTGGGCGCGGGGGCTTGGGGTTCTGGGGGCTTGTCGCCCCCGGGCTTGGGCCTGTGGGGTTCGGGGATCTTGGGCTCTGGCGGGCGGGTTGCCGGGCTCTGGGCCGGCTTGCGTTCTGGTGCCCGGTTCTGGGCGGGGGCCTTCGGCTCGCTGGTGGGTTGTGGGTCATGGGCTGGGGGGTTGGGTGTTTGGGGGCGTGACCAGTAGCCCCTAGGAGGGGGTAGTTTGACCCAGCCTAGGTGTCTAGTGTGCTATGTGTTTTGAGAGATGTCCGAATGAGGGGTGGGTGTAGTATTTCTTCTGGAGTGGGGATGGGGTGGATGTCCTTGGGGGCGGCCCGGGACTGTGCATGGCCGGCTGGCTGGCCCCTTTCCTGTGGTGGGGGCTCGATCCCGGTGCTTCCTGGCACTGTCGGCGGTTGGGCGGGCGCTCTTGGCCGGGTCGTCCTGGTGGGGTTTGGCTCCATCTGGTAGCGGGCTGACTGCGATCTGTGGGGGTCCTGGTGGCCCTCGGGTGTGTAGGCTGCTGGTGCAGCTTCTGGCGGCCCTCGGGGCTCTGTCCCTCTCTGGTCTGGAGCTCAGCGGGCCTGACGGTCGGTCCAGATGGAGAGGTGTCTTGGCCTCAATCCCTGGGTGGACCTTGGGGGGCTGGGGGGGGGGGCGGT